GGGCCGAGATTGGGGGGGCAAGGCGGGCGACAGAAGGCCGATGCCTCCGTCACCCGGCCCTCTACAGACTCCACCCCCCAAACCTCCAGGTATTTCCCTCCTTAGAGCTGTCAACCCTACATTCCCCTCAGTGCCTGTTGGTAGGCATCTAAGCTTGGTCCTGTCACCTACTTTGGCTTTTGGGAGAAAACACATTGGGGCCAGTCCTGATAGGGTTGCCAACTCCAGATGGGAAATTCCTGGAGATTTGAGGGATGGAGCCTGAAGAGGGTGAGGTTTGAGGAGGGGTGGGACCTCAGACAGGTACAATGCCATAGACTCCACCCTCCAAACCAGTCAGTCCCTCATGGGGAACCATTGTTGCCAAACTCCAGGTGAGGGCTGGAGAGCACTCAGAATTACAACTGCTCTGCAGAAGGGAGGGCAGAAGTCAGCTGAAGTCAAAGGGGCAGATAATGGTAGGTTGATGGTTAGCTGGGAAGGAGATGGGGTTGCCAACTCCAGGCTGCCAAATTCCTGGGGATTTGAGGGGTGGAGCCTGGAGAGGGTGGGGTTTGCGGAGGGGTGGGACCTCAGACAGGTAGAATGCCATAGACTCCACCCTCCAAACCAGCCATTTTGTCCTGGGTAACAATTGTTGCCAATCTCCAGGTGAGGGCTAGAGATCACTCAAAATTACAACTGCTCTTCAGGTAGCAGAGATCAGTTCCTCTGGAGAAAACAGTGAACTCTGTCATTATACCCTGCTGAGGTCACCACAGCAAATTGACACTGTTTGCCCAAAGCCAGAGCACTCCCCGAGAGCCTCTTTCTAGATCTCGTTGTATTTATTTCCACAACGGGCTTTATTCCTAGTGTTCTTATATGTTTATAAGGTAGTCCTATAATGAGCTACCCCCTTCTAAGCCCTTTGATTTCAAGGAACATGCAAAGGTGTAATTCTGCTTAGAATTACACAGTGGGGATTAGATCCAGCCAGCATTTTTGCTCGATTCACCAAACCCTTCTCTTTACTACAGCCCACAATTACAGATGGCTTTTGACCATAGAGGTTCCATGGTCCCCAACACAGACTCTTTGAGTCATCAGAGGAGACCTCGCCTCCCTTTTCACCTGAAAAAAATGCTGTTTGGCTCAAATCCTAAGTGTCTATGCTCACTTTTAATGTCCATGTATTCCCACATTAACCTATATCAAACTATCTGTGCTAACCTATCTTTAACCATTTAAATACAACACTGACTTTCAGCACTTAAAGAAATACATGAAGTTAATATGTAGTTAGTTATTCATGGCATGTGGGAAAAGAGAATGAGGAAACCTCTCTGGAGGACATGAATATAATTTGAATGAGCTTCCAACTCCCTATGGCTAAAAACACCATATAAAATATGACACTAGAATTTTGCTAAAACAAATATAATTCCTGTTAGATTATTTCTGCATACCAATGGGCACTGTAAACATTTTTCTTTTTTTAAAAAAATTATGCCACTATAAAACACTTAGTCCAATATCTGAAACATAGTTTTAATAAACATGTTCCATAAATAGCATAGCCTTACAGATCAGCATTTATATTTGTGCAGTAGTGTGGGCAGGTGCTAACAGGTTTCCATATGGCTGAATTGCCACTTCCACCAGGAAGCAGACCATGATAGGAAGAGACAGCCTTTCTGGAAAAGCAATAGAGATAGTCCTAAGCAGTACTACATACTTTTAAGCCCATGGACTTCAATGGAAGAGGAGGAAGAGGAAGAATTGGTTTTTATACCCTGCTTTTCTCTACCTTAAGGAACCTCAAAGTGACTTACATTCTCCTTTTCTTCCTCTCCCCACAACAAGGAACATGTGAGGTAGGTGGATTTGAAACTGGGCCAAGATCACCCTGCAGGCTTCATGTGGAGGAGTGGGAAATCAAACCCACTTCTTCAGATAGAGTCTGCTGCTCTTAACCACTACACCATACTGGCTGATTTCACTGATTGACACTTTCCTGGGAAGTTACACAGCTGTACTTGAGTAAGGGAAAGGAAGAAGTTTGACTACTCACAAACAGGGAAAGAGAAACAAGATGGCTACTCATGAGTAAATAAAGGAAATTAGAAGGCAGCTGGATAAAAGTTCTCAATAAAGTTCTCAATAAAAGAAAGAAGAAGAAGAAGATATTGAATTTATACCACGCCCTTCACTACCCAAAGGTGTCTCAAAGCGGCTTACAAACTCCTTTTCCTTCCCCACAATGGACACCCTGTGAGGTAGGTGGGGCTGAGAGAGCTCTTTCCAGAGCTGTCCTTGAGAGAACAGCTTGTCAGAACTACAGCTTGCCCAAGGTCATCCAGCCAGGTGCAAGTGGAGAAGTGGGGAATCAAACCCAGTTCTCCCAGATTAGAGTCCGCGCACTTAACCACTAACTGGCAAGAGGTTGGACCTGACCTGGATGGACCAGGTTTTCCTAACTTTGTCATATATTGGAAGTTAAGAAGGACAGTCCTGATTAGTACTTGGATTGGAGACGCTCAAGGAAGTCCAGGTTTGCTACACATTAAGCAATGGCAAACCACCTCTACTCATCTCTTGCCTCTGGGGTTGCCATAAGTTGGCTATGACTTAATGGCCCTTTCCACCAACAGGAAGAGGTGGAAGAGAAAGCCTCTTGCAGGTGTTCCTTGAACACAAATGAGCTTCAGGGATAAGGCAAGGGGTGCTTATCAACCTTTATTCCTTGAACTGAGCACTTAATAAAAGCCATAACCCTGCAACTTCAATACCTCACGATGAATCAAGTGTCTTTTTTCATGCATGTTCTTGATACAAGCTCTTGTGATTTATATCAGTCAATAAGGACAAAGGAGAAGGCTTATAGTTTCTAATTTTTAACAGTTTAGTTGTGGAAAGCTGTTCAAAAAATCTTTGAAAGACTGTTTGTTTTCCTGAAAGCACTCTTGATAATGCTAAATCAATGATCATGTTATCTTGGTCACTTTAAAAGTCATCTTCCTTACATTTCAAATCAATCCTTTATATGTTGAATCTAGTATAAAATAAGCCTTCCTGGTGGTTAGAGTGTCAGACAAGGATCTGAATTTGAATCCCTTCCTTCGTTTGGAAGCTCACTGAATGCAAGTGGACCAGTCACAAACTCTCAGACTCTGAACTTGCAAGTTTAGTGTCAGGATTAAAATAAAGGAAGGGGAAATCATGTATGTCATCCTCAACTGTATAGGTAGTTTTTAAAATATAGATTAGTGAAAAATACTCTTCAATTAAACAAACAAGGATTTGGAATAAAGTGAATGACTTTATTTCCACATACCCTTCCCTGCAATTATGTCTTTTGAGCACAGCAGTTTTTAAAAGTGGTTAGATCATGGAGCTTAGGTTCATTGAAAGCTATTAGCCAAAGGAGCTGAATGGATCTTCCATATTCAGAACAGGAAAATCTAAATAGTAGTGGTGGGATGTAGTAGAGGGGAGCACT